ACAATAGCAATAGCAGACAAATCGTTGATAGCTGCCGTGTTATAATTTCTTCAGAATGTTGACAATATCTGAACAATGAATTCGATTTTGTAGATTGATATGTTTGCTGTCTGCAAGCTTGGATGAACGGAACAGAACCCCCGATATCTTTTTTAAGCGATCTATTCTGCGAAAGCACAAGTCCCCACCCCGAATTATGGTCGCAGCTAGTGCTGGAGTACACCATCCAAAACTGATTGTACGTTCGTTCATACAAACAATGATGTCACCATAAGTAAGCCAAGGGGACCCGGTCTGGTCGACCCTAAAACACGTTTTGGCAGTCAGTCATAGGACTGAGTGGAACCAGTTGGTTCAAAATGATGTGCCGTGATGATTAGCTGTCTCAGAGGGATTACTCATCGTGACATAACCTAACCGTGCGCGCCGAAAACATAGATGATTCATATTTTTGTCGTCATCGTCGTATTGGCATGAAATGACTGATTTCTCCGTGTCCTCATTACTGGACACTGAACGAATCTTTTTATTAATTTGAGCTGACCATCTTTCGGACTCCAACTTCAAGCACAATGCTCAGTTCAGCTCTTATTGGAGCTCATCAGTAGTGCATATGCGCTGATGAGCTCCAATAAGAGCGAAACCCCAGTCTTGTGCTTCCGAGTGTCGATTCGATGAACTGGGGATTGTGTGTGAAGGTGAAGTCCGAAGGATAGTCAGCTCAAATCAATTATCCCACACCACTATTCACAAGTGCCAAATACGAAACTGAACGAATCGTTTACTCATTACTTTGTCTGTGCACTGATCATTTGTGCATTGAAGTTCTATTTAGCTTTAAAACCGGTCCCCGTTATCTTGCGTTGGCAACTAATCTCTCGCTCATTCCTATAGCTCATAATCAAAGCGCCCTCAAATCTGCTTCTGCTAAATACCTTGATGTTACCCTCATCCATAATCTGTCCTGGTCTGGTTCCAATCATCGGCGGTTTTAAAAAAATTGGGAAACTGTCTTTTTATACATACAGTCTAGGGAACTTGGCGGTCCCATATAATCTTATCCTCATGCTTGTGATTGTCTGCATTCTTCCACACTGGCTATACTGCTCCCCGATATTTATCCCTGGACTAAAAGAAAAAGACTGCAATTTATTTTCTATAGATCCCTTAGACTTTTGACTCCCTACAGTGGAGTTGATTTCTTCATTTCCCAGCATCTTTAAGTTTGTAATACATTCATTGATAGGATAACACGTGATCTGGACCACGGTCTGCACCGAGAAATCGGAACCACCATGTCGAATCCCCGAACTCGTTCGAAATATCAACCCGGTCCTGCGCGCGATTCCGCATATATAGAACACAGTGCAATTCCATACCTTGTATCGTAAGACAACTTTCAGACGCCTCAGGGAAAAACTGTTGCACTGATTTTTTCCCCTTATTTACTACAGGATAGAATTTGTTATACTGTCTATATTTTTATTGATTATAATTGGTTTTATCTATTTACTGTAAAAGTTCATNAGTTCATAAATTGCTGCCAATTCACCCATCTGGTGCATGAAGCGTTTCTTGACTTGACATAACTACATTGTGCTGTTTGGACTGTCGTTGGACAGAAATGAAATGTATTCACTTTGCCACATACGTTCTCGTTCGTCCTCTCCGAATGTCGTTCCGCCTCTGGATTGTGTACAATCCAGCTGTACTCCCATACACCCTTGACACGAGCATGATACCATGCTCACAGTTCAGATTGACTTCCCATTACCGGGAACATTTGCGGATCACGTGTCCGGTAATGTTTTGTGTTTCACGCGGCTGCTTCTGTTGCTGTTGCTCGTCAGCTGTGTTCTGACAGTCCCAATTGATCCGAATCAAGAGATCGAGCAAGAGCACACTGGAGGGGATGCAATTTTCAGACCTCGGACAGTCACTGGTCATGGGCTAGCTCGGGCACGGTATCCCTCTTCCCCCAAATAACCTTGTCCATCCATGCACGGAGATTGCACTTCACGATCCCTGTGTAGTGTGCCAGATCTTTGTCGACCTGTCGACCTGGTGATCAATTGTATCGGTCTATTATTTTTCCGGTCGCAATCTGACGCACATAAATGATCAACTCGGATGTGCTGTGACCCCGGGTTTCGGGGCACGGTTTTGACGCTTCTTGTCAAAAAAAAATTAAAGATCAAAGATTTATTATGGGAATCACTTACAACCTCTCGTCCCATAAAGATTTGTGTCGTGATTAACAATCGGTGAGACAGACTATTCCATGTGTAAAATGTCACATGTGACGGACTTCTTCCACTGCTGCACGCAGCTTCATTTGGAAAGTTGTAAGGTGTTGTGAGGTGTGCTAATGTCTCATCGAGTCTCAGGTTGAAAGATTCAGCGCCTGGCGCACAGACGATGTGGAATGGGAGAGAATTCGAGAGCGGACACACTGTGACTTAGAATGACTGACACCGGCATTCCACTCGGAATTTTGAGACCTAAACTTTGAATGGATGTCCTCTAAGATGAGGGTTGGGTGATAATTTCAGAAGCGGGCGACACGGATGGCTTGGGCTTTGCATTATCTGGTATATCATAATCGTATCTCCGTCAGACGCGCCGGTAGCGACTTCAATCTCTTTGCGTATGAATAACGATTCAACCCCACAAGCATTTTCGTGATCATCCTATGTGGACGCTCCAGCATTTTGCAATCACGTTAGATGGCGTACTCTGTGAGTGGACGAATGTATGCCTGATAGTAGACGGGGAAAAAGCGCTGACGCAAACCGGTCAAAGACCCGCCTAAACAAACTGACATTGATTGAAGCTACGTTCGACACCTTGGCGCAGTTGAGTGAGCAGCTTAAGTTTTCTTGAATGATCATGCCCAGGTTCTTCCCTTGTGACTCAAGACACTTCCGTTTTTAGGGTTTTTTGGGGAACAATTTCACAATGCATCCCCGGACCATCAAACGTGCATTACCTACCGCAATAACGGCTTCGCGGGATGTGAGGACGGAGGGAGAGGAAGTAGTTGAGTTTGTGAAACTGCTCGATATGCTAATGAGTTCGATGTATACAATGTTATTCCATGTAGGTAGTTGTTTTTTTCTTTATATTGATGATGCGTGGGGAATTCATTGTAGCTTATTTTTCACCGATTTGAATACACTACTGTATTTTATCTACATTGAGAACTATTCAAAGACCTATCCTATCGGCTAATTTGCATACAACGTTTCCCAGGTGAACCGGTAGCTCGTAGCTGAATATGCCGATATATTTTCGGAGAAATTTGTTTAACCACAACTTCATTTGTCTGAATTGTATATAACGGATGTGGTCAGGGAACAAGTCAATGTTTTGTCTTCAACGAAAGTTACCTGATTTGTTTAATTCGGAAATTGTGTTGGATTTTAAATAAATATCCGAACGGAAATGAACCGAACGTTTCATAACAAAAAAAGATGTACCGTGTCGGGCGCACGCCGGGCACAATATTTTGAAACTGGCGATGTTGTTCTTGTTCGCGGAATTTCCATCATTTCTCTCTCTCACTCTCTCTCTCGCTCTGTCGGATTCATGTCATATTCACTTGAGTTAAAAAGATTAAATGTGCCCATATTTACAATCGAGATCGATGCAGGGTATCACATGACCTATCAGCCGCTCAATGAAAGTGCATTTGAGAGCATGTATTAAACTTGAGTCAAGCGAAAGAGAAGAGGCTGTTTAAAACGTGACGGGGGTGGTAAGGGGTCTCATTCGAAAGAACCTCAAATAATCGGTAAATTATTGTGAGGAGACACAAAACTTTAAGAACTCGTCCTGAGCAATTGGGTTTGGAGAACCATGTGGTACCAAGTAAAGTGAATTTAGATGCAGCCGTGTCCTCGTCAATGCCAGTAAAACTTCCCCTATGCCTATTTCTATGAGACACGCATCTTTGTGTCCTTCATTGAATTTTAACTTCACCATTCTCCGTTCAACCAGATTCATGAAACCTATTGGAACTTGGAGTATCTTATTTTCTTGTATGACCACCATATATTTCTCTACTTGTCTCCCGCGCTGCGCGCGAAATCGGCTTCCTCTTCCGCGCCAGACGCTTCTTCACTCCCAGTCACTTCTTGCCGATTTAAAAAGCTCGGATTCACGCTACACTTGAATACTGCAGTCATGTTTGGGGTGGACCTTCGTTCACCTCACTTTCTCTTCTTGATCGGGTTCAATGTTTTTCAATCCGTTTCATCAACAACTCGTACGTAACATGTAACTTACAGTCATTAGCTCACCGTCGGGCGGTCACTTCTGTATCCTTATTCTATCGATACTACTTTGGATTTTGCTCTGATGAACTTTCCGCATCTGTCCCTCTCTCACTTGTACTTCCTCGTAGCTCCCGTTTCATTTTAAGTGACTCTCCCTCTGGGTGTCGCATTTCTAACTTTCAATTATCTTTTTTTCTCAAGAACAGCACTCTCGCTCTTTCGGTCTTCCGTTCGACGTACAAAATCCTTGTCTTTAAACGCAGAATCACCAAGCTATTTCTAGCTTGCCCGTTCTCCTTACCTTCCCACGTACCGTGTAACCTTGAATCATGGGATTTACCTCTTTTACTGTATTCAGTTTCGTGTAATAAAATAAAATGCAGCACGGAACTACCTGGTTAATTCATCCACGTTGGCAAACAATGTGATCCGTGTGTGTGTGTGTGTTTGTGTGTGTGCGCGCGCAAATAGCTGCCCCCAAGTCAATTCAAACCACGTGGCACGTCTGATGTTCCAAATCAGTCTACATGTGCACTCTACGCAGGCACTACAGCTCAGAGTCTCATCACAACAGACAGATTTTCTCTGTACAGANNNNCGTCTCCTCGGCCAATTCTTCTCCTCACCTCGATCAGGCAGATCTAACAGGGAATAGTTTGGAGTCCAGTGTTGCTTACGACACAAAATTCAAGCTAATCGGGTAGGATATTCACCATTAATAGATCATTGCTGCTGAAGAAAAAAAAAGAACACAACGGAGGTGAGTGCCGGGGTGAACTGAACCGACATGTCAGATGGAAAATTCCTCGTTCTTCTACATCGAGTTTCGAAAGTTGTTTCCCGATACTTTCACAGTCGATTCTCAGGTCTAGTCAAATGATGCAGGGACGCGAGGTGTGTCCGTGAGCGCTCGGTGATTAATCTAAAGGCATATCAGGGTAATTTCTTGGTTGGATCATTAACCTTAGTATTGCGGTTTTGACCGAGGTGTCAAACCACGACTGAGAACAGAACATTGAATTGGACCACGGCACAAGTTACGCGGAACTGACTTATTGCAAATATAAACCTATCGTCAGATCGTTCAAGGTCACGTTGGTTTGCGGTCTTTTCAAATAAAGTTGAAAACAACCGCGAGTAGATCTCGTTAACATCTTTGTAACGCAATAAAATGTGACCGACAGGTACGCGCAAGAGTGTGAGATGGATTAGTTGGGTGACACGTGCTTCCTTTTAATAGCTCCGCACCATGGAATCCATCATCCTTGAGCATAGTTATTCACATGTTATGCGCTTCGAATTAGAAAAAGCAAATAAAGAAATATTCAATGCGTGCAACTTCTCCGCACAGATTATTGCAGTTTTATTCGAAAAAGTAGAAAAACCCTGTTCACGTGACCTCTCGATCTCTCTGCTCCCGAAGAAGAACCCGAGTACAACAATGAGTGAGTGATAAACTGGAACAACTGAAGCAACCAAATTCGCACCTGTGGTCCAAGACGCGTGACCTGCTGACAGTTTTCTCTTGTCACAGATCGATGTGAAACGAGTGCAACTGAAAGGCGGATCCTCACGTGATGACGAGAGGATGAAACAGAACAAGCCCGAGCAAACATTCCACCGCAGAACGACAGTTGACGTGATTACGATTACCGCGTGGTTTGGCGCCCAGTCAAAATAACCAAAGAACGGGTTTCCGTAGAAAAATCATAGTTGAACAGAGGAATATTACCACAAGTGGTAATTTGATACAACACCATGAAACATACTGAGACTGAAGAACAACGTTGGACACAAGTAGTATCAATACGGAACCGGGAAAAACGGAAGGCAGAATAACAGGGACGGAACTTACACTTTTCTGCTGCATTCTTGGTCGTGTTAGAATTATGACATGATCCAATGACGGGTTGGTTTCCACAGAGGATTGATTTGTTACGTAACCACGTGATCTGTACGGTTGAACTGAGTCAGAGTTTGACGGTGAAGAGGATTGAGCGGGTGATTGGTTGGTGATCCCGGTCGCTTCCGCTACCGAGTATTGCGTGGAACCAGTGAGCGATACCGGCTGGCCATTTGTTTCACACGTCACGTCGACGGGCGATCGTGCAGTGCGTGGTGATGCGGACTGAGCTGCGGATGGGGTAACCACGGTGTCTGTGTTATGACGCGCCCGTGTCGAACCGAATCGTGCGACCAAAGATTGCCGTATAGAACTGAGCCGAGAATAGAACCAGTTCGTTGGCACTGGGGGCGGTTCACCGGGTGGTTTGGGGAAAGGTTCAAGCCAAGTGTTAGGTCGACTCACACTGGTCGTGTTTGTACCGGCCTGGGTTGATGACGCGAAATCCGGTGCCGCGGTGGTCTGTGGATGCGATGATGACCAGATGACCGGCTGTGGGGCGGTTTTGATTACTGGCTGTTGTTCATCCTCGTCCGTGGCCAGGGGATATTTGTCAAATTCCGAGTAGGCTGGCGGAGGTTGGTCAGTACTCCTGGAAAAAATACATCAATGACGCACCGATTTGAATCCGTGGGTTGAGTGAAATAACCGGACGGGAAAAAATCAAAAGTTGAACTGAAGCAATCCTGATTGCTGATCAAACAATATCGGATGAATACGCTTATTCTTTCAACACACTGGCTCATTCAGACCGGAGGAAAATGAAGAAAAGGTAGCTATGAAATGCGATTAAATTCCGGTGCTTTTTTCCTTTCAATGCAATTTGTTTTACTTAGAAACCGCAGACTGATTGTACGATAGGAAATTTTCTCCCTAGCTTTAAATTGATCGAAAAAAATGCATCAGCTGCTTCAATTGCAAATATACGATTATAGCCCGTCACAAGGTGGGCATTTGTTATATCTAACTCAACCGCGTTCGCGTAATTGTACAGTCAACCCGCTTCTGGACCAGACTGCACACATCCAGTCTGAGCGCATCTAGCCCGGGCTGCTATCGATTGATCAAATGAATATAAGGAATTTTCAGTTCACCCAAATAACATGGATTGTTCATTGATCACCTATCTCCGTTCCAAATGGGCACTCTCAAGTGTGCTGTTACCCCTGAGCTAAGCGGCACCAACATCTGGAGAGCGGATGAATACTAAAAGCGTAAAACTCACAACACCATCTACACAGGATTGCACGAATCTGGTGGGGCAGTCGGACGAGCAATGCAGAGGTTAGGAGCAGAGTTTTAGGTAACCGCGGTTGCCCACTGGAGCAAGTGGTCGACCTCCGTAAATTACTTCGGTTGAGTGATATGTTACGTATGTCACCAAAAAAGGTTGCTACGGTGAGCAATGTACGCAGAGGCAGGTAGTGGGTGGAATGAAACCAAGGGTGGTGAATCTAAGACCTGGTATGAGGGTATGAAAAACCTAACCAGTAGTCTGGGTCACATAGGTCCCGTTAGGCTCCCTGACTGGGGACCTCGAGATCATGGTCACCGATGGTTGGAGACACTGAAGGATCTGACTGAGTGTCGTAAACAGTGGTGTTCGTGCATCTTCTCAATTTTTTCGCAGCCTCACTGTCTTTCTCTTACTGCTTCAATCAAATAAGCAGATCAAAGACAGTAAGCAAAATCGGCGCACGAAAGCGCATGATTAATGATTGAACTGAAACTGATAGCTAGACACATAGACCCCTGAATGTTGATGCATCTGAGTGGCTGATAAAAGCAAGAATTGTCATTCTGAACAACTCCATTTCCACAATCAACGTTCCGACCACTGTATAAAGTTAAAACGGGACGATCTAGACACGTGCGGTTTCGCATTCTAGCCACAGCGGAAGCAGTTTCCATCCCTCTACACAACTCCCTTCTGTGGGCTCAGAAACAATTGTGCAAGCACTCAAGCTCCCATAGTCAGATTGCCGACAAGTGACCTGTCATGAAACATCGAAGCAAGTGATAATCGGGGACCAATTATGAAAAAAACTCTTGAATACTTTAATTACTTTCCCTCTCTTTTTTCCTTGTAAATCTTTCTCTGTTACTAGTCACATTCATTGTATCTTAATGGCATAATTGCCAATTTATGTGTCTATAATGAGCTCTGTGGGACTGTTCAAACATCTTTAATCCCGTTTGACGGACGCTAACTCCGTTTAAGTATGACGGCTAATCGATGACGACGTGGACGACGATGATGAATCGATTGGTATGCTGGAGATTCCCGACCACACCCTTGAGGTACTCCGGTGTGGACAATTCACATACGCGCGTGTGAATCGCTGCGCTGCTATCCGTTAGTGGTTCTGTATGAAACACACACGACAGTTGCTGAACTCCCTGCATATTTTCTGTTCAGATATTGATTAAAAATCCACAAACAAAATTCCAATTTGTTCCTGCTACTGAATCTTGATAATGTGAGAAATTGATTTTCGTTTTCTTTTCTAAACATGAAAAGCATAGTTTATGGACTATTGCTCATTGACTGTATGTCTATCCAAAGCAGACAGTTTCCTGTTACGTTTTCTGTTACGTGTCCAAATAGCTGTGATCATAACGTGGTTATATTCAATGACCTAATCACCATCAGTATCCATGACTAGTGTGGTCCGGATAGCAAATTTGTTATCACGACCACTGTGACAAATTGGTGGGAAAATCAGTACCGAACGAGCCAACGGACTGGCGATATGGGACCACGAACAAAACAGGTCCGTCCATTCGGTCCATTCTCACGTTTGATTAGAAACCATGACAACAAAATTCACAGTATTGCAATAAAAATGTAGTGACCGATGATTAATGTTCACTTATCCTAATATTATTTCTTTATCGCTTCAAAGTGAGGACCTGTGTATATATATGAGTGCATGCAATCAGCTTGTGGCGATTGTCTATTATTTTTTCGGCTGAAAATATTTGTTTAATGTGAAGACTTGTTGGCTCCTATACGAATTGCCCTCCCCCTACCACATACGAAAGCACAACAAATTGGGAGGTCATCGGCAACCACATACACACACACACACACACACACACACGATTGTGATGCTTTTTCACCTTGACTTAACGGCTGACTAATCCCACTCATATCCTCCGATTGTGCTGTGACCGGGTGATCAGTTTTCGTAGCACCATCGCTCAAGTGTAACAACTCACTTCGATTGCTAACAGAACCGCATTGCTCAGTCCCCAGGACAAATAAACAATGGTTTGTCCTGAACAGATTGTGTATGTTTGTGAGAAATTGTGTGTGTGGGTGGGTGGGCGCCTGAATAAGCGAACTAAATATTGCCAGACTCATTTGGGTTCCCGGATGTTGAATAGACTGTGGAGAAAGAGAACGAGATCCGGGGTCACGAACTGAGTTGAAACCCGGTCGTGTCATGGAATCATGAGTTGCCGGTGTGTGTGTGTGTGTGTGTGTATGTGAGTGAGTGAGTGAGTGAGTGAGTGAGTGCAAAGATTGTTTCAAAATTGAGAATAACTTTTACAAGTACATCCCCGTGTTCAGCATTGTCCAACAACCGCGGTTTTTTACACTTCATCGGTTGATGCTACATCGCAAAGGATTCATCGTTTGAAGATGAGAGCAATATGTTCTTGGCGAATGTTTGCCTTAAGCATGTTGAATCGGAATCAAGGCAATGTGGCTAACGAGGTTTGACAAAACTGAACTCCGGTCCTTACCGACCGCATGGTCGAATGAATGAACTGACGATTGTGCCCCAAATTGAATGCTGTTTCGATCATTGGTAGTCCAATTAACTGAAGCTTTCCGCGCAAACAATTTCATGTCGCATTTTGAAACACCATCAGACAGCAATACAATGGAAACCAGGGTACAGAAAAATGCCGTTTCTTTTGCGTAATTCAGCTCTGCTAATCCCGAGGGTCGCTGGAGAAGCTGGAATTCATAGATTGCATGATGCAAGGTTCACTACAGAGTTGAACACGGTTGCTAATTATCAATTCGGTGTACAACCATTAAACATGCACTTTCGTGTGCCGGTTTTGGTTACTATCTATTGGCTGCTCAAATCCATGAACAGTAAGAGAAAAAACAGGAACGTTAAAAGTATAATCGAAGAGAAAATTGAAAATTTCACTGAACTAAGATTGCAAAGAAATCGAGAAGATGCACGAACACTACTGTTTACGACTTCCAACTATACCATTCAGTGCCTCTAACCATGGATTACGTTGATCTCAAGGTCCCCAGCGAGGGAGCCTGACAGGATCTAGGTGACCCGGACTTCTGGTTAGGGTTTTCATATTCTCGTGCCAGGTCCGAGCTTGAACACTTTGGGCTTAAATCCACCCACTAACTGCCTCGGTGAACATCGCTCGCCGTGGCAGCCTATTTGATGACATGCGTGACATAATAGACGGAGGTTGATTACCTGCTCAAGCGGGCAACCACAGTTACCTAAACATCTACGCCTAACGTCAGCAGTGCTGGCCCGGCTGCCCCACCAGATTCGTGCAGTGCTCCGTAGACAGCCGTGTTCAAACACCAACAGTCTATCTTTGTCCTGATCTCTCAAGTAGAGCAGAACTGACCGATCTTCGAATCGTTATTTGATTGAAAATCGGTTTTATGTCCCAACTGATATGACTCGTCACATGGAAATGTCTTTATCCGAAGCAAACACCTGTCCAGTGCACTGTTCTAACCGATTCTATTGGGATTTGTGGTCTGAAACTAAAGATTCCCGCCCCAGGGACAATAATCAGCTCCCGAGTCGCGTCAGGTAGAAATGTCACTACCGTGGCAAATGAAATCGAATGGGATGGAAGTACTGTAGCCCATGGGTCTCATAACCGTCTCATTATGTGTATACGTAGTTAACGGTATTCTGTTTTTACAGGAGCAGGTTTTTCATCAGTGCATTCTATTCTTGATGGAACAGAATACGCCTGGGTGCAATCCTACGTACTCATCGACGGTCACTCACACTTTATGCTGTTTTTGTCCCCAGTCAACCGTTCTGCACTTTTACTACACATTCTCTCGCTTTCGCTGTATGTTTTATGTTTTAAAAATTTTCGAAGTGATCAGATTTAATGGAACTAAACTATCACGCGGTGACATTTGTTTAAAATATGTGGGGTGTTGCTGTGCGACCTGTGTGACGTTCAGGAATGAATGACAGCTGGTAATGACTTTTGTCAAGCGCAGAGGGTGGAGGAGGGGGGGTACACACATGGTGTCAAGAGTTGAACAACCACCGACTGCGTTTTCATACTACGCACTGTGACAGACAGACGAAACTATTCCATTCGCCTTCACATTTTCCGCCACAAATGTCCTTCAACACACATTTTTCTGAGCTTTCACCGGGGGACAATGACAATGTGGATGTGTCCGCAGTTTCGATTTGGTTATACACGGCCTCGCTCCACTACTGATTACTTTCATTATACACACCATGTGGTGAAAGAGAACGACCACTTATGGGAAAAATGTGGAATCAGATGTATTTATACCGTCATATATACTGACAGACTGTTAACCACTTACATATGCATCCATTCAGTTCCAGTTTCAGTGGACTAAAGTGCATGAAAGCCACTGTTTATGACACACAGTCATATCACTCGGTATCTCTAACCATCGATTACGCTGATCTCGAGGTCCCCAGCGAGGGAGCCTAACAGGATCTAGGTGACCCAGACTTCT